AAAAAAAAATGGAAAAGGGTTTTTGTTTTCCTTTTTTAGCCCTCGATGTTTTTTCAATGAAATTTTTTTTTAGTCCAGTTCAATGAATAAAAAATCACTTCCCTTTACCGCCTCCCTTCATTTTTTCTCTCCTCTCTCTCGTTAACCCCCTCTCTCCTCTAAATAGGTGAGCAGAGGCTTTGTATCATCCAAAATCTCCCGGGGTGTCACACTTGACCCCACAGCGTGGACCTGTTGCGGTCTGGTTGATAGGGGGGGACAGTGAGGAAGTTGAATTGGCAACCCCTGGCAAAAAAAAAAGAGAGAGAGAGAGAAAAGGGGAGAAGAGAGAAGAGAGGGGGAGAGAGAGAGAAGAGAAGAAGAGAGGGGAGAGAGGGGGAGAAGGAAAAGAGAGAGAGGAGATAGAGAAGAGAAAAGAAAAAAGAGAGAGAAGAGAGAAGAAAAAAAAAAAGGGAAAACAGAAGAAAAGAGAAAAAACACAGGTCATTTTCTGCTGTTTTTTGGTTTTTGCAAAAAAAAAAAAACGTTTTTTTCCCTTTTTTCAGCATGGGGTTTGCAATTCAAATATTCTTTTTTTTAGTCAGTTAAAATGAATAATCGTATTCTTCCATTCAGTGAGGATTTAAAAAAGGGCCAAGGACAAAAAAACTGGTCAGGATAGGGAATGATCTGGACTGATTCCAAAAAATGGATCCCTTTCCTACTTTCACCTTTTTTTAAGCTTGTGGACCTGGTCCCAAAAATGCACTATACGTATAGGAAAAAGGGATGCATTTGGCCCCCCCAAAGGGTTTCCTAGAGGACATGTTTAATTCAGGTTCTATATTCAGGTTTAATTCATGCTATATTCGTGGTTTTTTTATTCATTTCTTTTTTCAGTGTTCTTTTTTCACATTGTAACTGAACAAAAATATAAAAAAACTGTTGGTCTTGTTTCATGGTAAATAAAAAGGTTCCAAGCACAAAAACCTTTTTTCTTGAATGTTTTTTCCCCAAATTTTTTACTCCTTGTTGTGAGCATTTTTCCAAGAAATCCATCCACCCAAAAAGGTGTGGAAAACAAGAAGGGTGTTAACCCGGGGCCAAAAACCGGTGCACCTTGTGCTGGGGACAATACAAGGCCACTCTAAAATGTGCAGTTTTGTCACAAAACACAATGCCACAGATGTCTCAAGATTTTAGGGAGTGTGCAATTGGCATGCTGACTGCAGGAATGTCCACCAGAGCTGTTGCCAGATAATTTAATTAAATTTCTCTACCAATGTCGTTTTAGAGAATTTGGCAGTTGGCATGTCCAACTGGCCTCACAACCGCAGACCACATTGTATGGCGTTGTGTGGACGAGCGGTTTGCTGATATCAACGTTGTGAACAGAGTGCCCCATGGTGGCGGTGGGGTTATGGTATGGGCAGGCATATGCTACGGACAACGAACACAATTGCATTTTATCGATGGCAATTTGAATGCACAGAGATACCGTGACGAGGTCCCAAGGCCCATTGTGAGGCCCATTTTTTGTAAGGTATCTTTGACCAACAGATGTACAGTATATCTGTATTCCCAGTCATGTGAAATCCATAGATTAGGGCCTAATGAATTTATATGAATTGACTGATTTCTTCGTATGAACTGTAACTCAGTAAAATCCCAAAAAATATTTGCATGTTGCGTTTATATTTTTGTTCAGCATATCATTTTTCTCAAAGGATCATATTGATTTCCTGCTCACATCGGAGGATTATGATTCAATAGACTTCTATATATTGGATATGTTTGATGTTCATGCTTCTAATGCATTCTTATCTATAATTTTTCATTCATTCATTTAGCATTCTTGTCAATTATTTTTCAATGGTCATTCATTTAGCATTTAGCATTCTTACCTATTATTTTTCAATGGTCATCCATTTTAGCATTCTTGTCTATTATTTTTCATTGGTCATTCATTTAGCATTTAGCATTCTTGTCAATTATTTTTCAATGGTCATTCATTTAGCATTCTTGTCTATTATTTTTCATTCATTCATGATTCAATCACATTTAGCTTCTTCCTTTTCAGACAAAGTCATCCGCTTTGTACATCTGCTCAATTCTACTCCAAAGACAAAAATTATTTACATTTACATTTACGTCATTTAGCAGACGCTCTTATCCAGAGCGACTTACAAATTGGTGCATTCACCCTATAGCCAGTGGGTTAACCACTTTACAAATTTTTTTTTGGGGGGGTAGAAGGATTACTTTATTAATTATCATATTATAATAGGGCTGTGGTCAAAGGTAGTGCACTATATAAGGGAATAGGGTGCATATTTGGGAAGCAACCTTCTACTTCCTCATGAGAAAACATATCTGGGTTTTATGCATTTATTTCCATTTCCATGTCCTGGTTTCCATGTGGTGTTTTATTTAGCTGCACTGTCCTTCCACGTCTCTGTGGGGGGTCTCTGAATAATCTGAATGATTTTACTCCTCTTTCTGTCCTTCCATGTCTCTGTGGGGAGTCTCTCTCTCTCTGTCCTTCCATGTCTCTGTGGGGCGTCTCTCTCTCTGTCCTTCCATGTCTCTGTGGGGAGTCTCTCTCTTTCTGTCCTTCCATGTCTCTGTGGGGGGTCTCTCTCTTTCTGTCCTTCCATGTCTCTGTGGGGGGTCTCTTTCTGTCCTTCCATGTCTCTGTGGGAGGTCTCTCTCTTTCTGTCCTTCCATGTCTCTGTGGGGGGTCTCTCTCTCTGTCCTTCCATGTCTCTGTTGGGGAGTCTCTCTCTTTCTGTCCTTCCATGTCTCTGTGGGGGGGTCTCTTTCTGTCCTTCCATGTCTCTGTGGGGGGTCTCTCTCTTTCTGTCCTTCCATGTCTCTGTGGGGGGTCTCTCTTTCTGTCCTTCCATGTCTCTGTGGGGGGTCTCTCTCTCTCTTTCTGTGGCCTTTCTCGTTCCATTCTTTTTCACTCTCTTTTTGTTTTACATTTTAGCAGACGCTCTTGTCCATTTGGCAGAAGGAATGTCCTTCTCCCTCCGGGTGGCAGGTCTTAGCTCTGTATGTGTGCGTGTGCGTGTGCGTGTTTGTTGTGTCAGCCTCTACAGTACCTTGTCATTATTTATATTGTAGCGTCTGATTGTTGAAGCAAAAAATGAACACCCTTGCCTTTCTTGCAATAACACTCACATTTGACTTTTCTTTCTAGCTCTGACTTTGCTAATAGCTACTTTATTGAGGAAAAATTTACTTACGATGACTGTGATATGTGGTTTTCTCACCTACACAAAAAGGTGCTATCTAGAACCCAAACATGTTTTTTTGGCTGTTCCCATAGGAGAACCCTTTGAAGAACCCTTTTGGTTCCAGGTAGAACCCTTTTGGTTCCAGGTAGAACCCTTCTGGATTTCATGTAGAGCACCTAAAGGGTTCTACATGTAACCAATTAGAGTTTTCCTATGGGGACAGCCGAATAACCCTGGTCTGGTCCATGCTGGCCCATGGCGTTGGGGTCTAGAGAGAGGAGGAGGAGGAAGAGAGGAGAGAACCTGATTATATTATTACATGTAGAACCCTCTAAGAGTGTATCAGTGAATGCACTGTAAGTGGCTCTGGATAAGAGCGTCTGTTACATGACTAAAATGTAAAATGAGAGAAAATGACAGCAGCTCACTGATGCTTATCCCTCTCTTTCTTTTGTCATCTCCCTCCCTCCCCTCCTCTCCCATCCCCCTCCTCCCCTCTCTCTCTCTCTCCTTCCTCCATCTCCCTCCCTCCATCTCCCTCCCCCATCCTCTCCCACCCCCTCCTCCCCAAATCCCTCTCGCCGCTCAACCTCCCCTCCATCCCCTCCCCAACTCTCATACTCTCCCTCCTCCCCTCCCTCCTCCCTCCCCCATCCTCCCTCCCTCATCCCTCCCTCCCTTCCCCTCCCTCTCTCTCTCCTCGCCTCCTCTGCCCTCCCTCCATCTCCCTCCCTCCATCCTCCCGTCCCTCTCTCTCTATCTCCTCCCTCTCTCTCCCTCCCTCTCTCTCCCCTCCCTCCATCTCCCTCCCTCCACTTCCTCCTCTCCCTCCACTCCCTCGCTCTCCCTCCCTCCTCTCTCTCTCCCTCCCTCCTTCCCTCCCTCTCTCTCTCTCTCCTCCCTCCCATCTCCCTCCCTCCATCTCCCTCCCTCTCTCTCCTCTCCTCCCCTCCCTCCATCCCCTCCTCTCTCCTCTCTTCTCCTCCTCCTCTCTTCTTCTCCTCCTCCTCTCCTCTCTTCCTCCTCCTCCCACCCTCCCTCCCCCTCCTCTCTCCTCTCTTCCTCCTCCTCCTCTCTCTAGACCCCAACGCCATGGGCCAGCATGGACCAGACCACGCTCTGATTGGAGGAGTGGTGGCAGTGGTCGTCTTCGTCACCCTGTGTCTAATCATCGTTCTGGGCCGCTACCTGGCCAGGCATAAAGGTACCTGGTAAACGCTGCACCTGTAAAACACCCGACACACCTGTAAAACACACCTGTTAAACACCTAAAGATAACACAACTGACGGTAGGAAAACTGATAGTAACACACCTGACCAATTCTCTCTGTCTATCCAGTTTGTTTATAATCAGGTTCATAGCCGGGCATAAAGGTAGGTCACCTGACAATAACACACCTGACAATAACACACCTGACAATAACACACCTGACAATAACACACCTGACCAACTCTATTAAATATATAACCAGATATCAGGTATAAAGGTAGGTCACCTGACAATAACACACCTGACCAACTCTATTAAATATATAACCAGATATCAGGCATAAAGGTAGGTCACACTGACAATAACACACGACCTGACCAACTCTATTAAATATATAACCAGATATCAGGTATAAAGGTAGGTCACCTGACAATAACACACCTGACCAACTCTATTAAATATATAACCAGATATCAGGCATAAAGGTAGGTCACCTGACAATAACACACCTGACCAACTCTATTAAATATATAACCAGATATCAGGTATAAAGGTAGGTCACCTGACAATAACACACCTGACCAATTCTATTAAATATATAACCAGATATCAGGTATAAAGGTAGGTCACCTGACAATAACACACCTGACCAACTCTATTAAATATATAACCAGATATCAGGTATAAAGGTAGGTCACCTGACAATAACACACCTGACCAATTCTATTAAATATATAAACCAGATATCAGGTATAAAGGTAGGTCACCTGACAATAACAACACCCTGACCAACTCTATTAAATATATAACCAGATATCAGGTATAAAGGTAGGTCACCTGACAATAACACACCTGACCAACTCTATTAAATATATAACCAGATATCAGGTATAAAGGTAGGTCACCTGACAATAACACACCTGACCAACTCTATTAAATATATAACCAGATATCAGGCATAAAGGTAGGTCACCTGACAATAACACACCTAACCAACTCTATTAATATATAACCAGATATCAGGTATAAAGGTAGGTCACCTGAACAATAACACACCTACCAACTCTATTAAATATATAACCAGATATCAGGTATAAAGGTAGGTCACCCTGACACTACACAACCTGACCAACTCTATTAAATATATAACCAGATATCAGGTATTTAGGTAACACACCTGACAATAACACACCTGACCAATTCTATTAAATATATAACCAGATATCAGGTATAAAAGGTAGGTCACCTGACAATAACACACCTGACCAACTCTATTAAATATATAACCAGATATCAGGTATTAAGGTAACACACCTGACAATAACACACCTGACCAACTCTAACCAGTGTCTGTAGCCCAATTAAAATAACCAGGGCTACCTGCAGGGCCGGGCATAAAAGTAACACACCTGACAATAACACACATGGCCATTCAACTCCCAGCTTTCCTTGAATCTACATTACGAAGCATATCTCATAAAAATATTTAGCTCTGACCATCAGCAAACAGGTGTTTCAGGACAATTGTTCCTATATTCGTCTGGAAGGACCATGAAGGGGTATTTTACATAGACATTAAAACCAGTAGATAGTGATAGCGCCGACGTCATCCACGTATTCCCATGGAAAACACCAGAAGCCGGAAGTATTTGAATTTGTAGAGCGCCATGTTGCTGAAGGGCACCAAAAAAATCGCTAAGGATCATGTTGAAAGTGGCCATAACTAGCAAAGGATCATGGTTCGATGTAGTCTTTTTGGATCATGGTCGATGTAGTCTTTTTGGATCATGGTTCGATGTAGTCTTTTTGGATCATGGTCGATGTAGTCTTTTTGGATCATGGTTCGATGTAGTCTTTTTGGATCATGGTTCGATGTAGTCTTTTTGGATCATGGTCGATGTAGTCTTTTTCATCCTGCCTGAGAGAGTTTAATGGAGCCTCCTCGCAGTCTGACAGGTCCGTGATTGGTCAGTGTCAGCACGTGGTCCTGTGATTGGTCAGTGTCAGCACGTGGTCATGTGATTGGTCTCTGTCAGCACGTGGTCCTGTGATTGGTCAGTGTCAGCACGTGGTCCTGTGATTGGTCAGTGTCAGCACGTGGTCCTGTGATTGGTCAGTGTCAGCACGTTGTCCTGTGATTGGTCAGTGTCAGCACGTGGTCCTGTGATTGGTCAGTGTCAGCACGTGGTCCTGTGTGACGACAATTGTAGTAGTCTGAATGGATCAGTATTTAATTAAAAATCTCGATTTTGTAGCGAAAAAAGAATTCACCGTGGGGATCGAACTTGATCATAGTAAATTAATTTCATAGCCTAAAACATCCGTCCAACCGGAGGTTTTTTTAACATATTGTTGTTGTCTGTTATCCAATAGGAACGTACCTCATATCTTCTCTTCCTGTCTGTTGTCCAATAGGAACGTACCTGACCAACGAGGCCAAAGGAGCGGACGACGCGCCTGATGCTGATACGGCTATCATCAACGCAGAGGGCAACACACATGCTGAGGAGAAGAAGGAGTACTTTATCTAGACTGTAGAGGGCGCTCTGATCTGCTGCCCCCTCTTGCTCTCTGTCTTTATCTCTCTAGTCCCCTATCTCTCTCCCACTCTCATTCTCTTTATCTCTCTCCGTACCGTTCTATACTTTATTTAGACTGCAGAGGGCGCTATGCTGCTCCCTCTCTCTCTCTCTCTCTCTCTCTCACACCCTCTTTCCCTCTCTCTCTTTCTCTTTCACCCTTTTTCTCTCTCGTCCTCTTTCTCTCTCTCTTTCCATTTCTCCTTCTCTCTCTCTCTCCACTGCCCCTGCTGCGTCACTAAGGAAACCCCTTGGGCAGTCCACAGAGAGGAAATACTCCTCCTCCTTTTTCCCCTCATCCCTCCTTTCTGTTCTCTTTTTTTATCATTTCATTCCGCCCTTCACTTCTTCTACACTTTTCATTTTATTTTTTTAACCGTCCTTGTTTCTGATGCCGGCCTTCGTTTTATTTTTAAAGGCAGCGCCCTCTACTGGCTGTCTGGAGCCATTTGTCGATTTTACATATGTTGTGTGAAATAAACCCCTGAGAAATCTGCATATCCACCGACACCACATCAGACTCCTTATTAAAACGCCTAAACACTTCCTCATACCCCCACACACACACACTCCCTGTCTCCACAAACACACACACACACACACACACACACACTAACACACACACACACACTAACACACACACACACACTAACACACACATTCCCTGTCTACACACACACACCCTCATGTTTACACGGTGCCTAAATATTCCGCCTTCATTCACACTGTCAGTAATGCTGTTGTAGAACTGTTTTATGGAATTCATTTACAGCGATGTTACAAAGGCTTTATTTTTTCTTTCACCAGTCATTTCACAGCTTCTAGGCTTTTGTTAATTAAACATATTTGGCTTTTTATTTAAATGAATATGTGTGCTGGTTACGCCTTATGTCTTTCAGACTGAATGATACTTTAGATGATCTGTCCCGTTCACTGACCCCTTCACTGACCCCTTCACTGTCCCCTTCACCGCCCCCTTCACTGTCCCGTTCACTGTCCCCTTCACTTCCCCTTCACTATATCATTCACTGTTCCCTTCACTGTTCCCCTTCACTGTACCCCTTTAACTGTCCCTTTATGTCCCCTTTACGTCCCCATTCACGGGGCCCCTTTACTGTCCCCTTTACTGTCCCCTTCACTGTCCCCTTCACTGTCCCCTTTACTGTCCCCTTCACTGTCCCCTTTACTGTCCCCTTCACTGTCCTCTTTACTGTCCCCTTTACTGCCCCCTTCACGACCCCTTCACTGTCCCCTGAATAAAACTGTACCCGAGAAAAATAATAGACTTGTAAACAAGAGAACTTGCCTCCTGTTTGATAGAATTAGGACAAAGGTTTTTCTTATATAAAACAAACTGTACTCAAGAAAAAATGCCCCGTTGTATGATGAGACAGAGGTTTTGTGTGAGCACTGTTAGCCAGACATGTTGTGTGTAATTTGTTCTTCATTATTAGTCCATATAGATGGTAGAGTCTTCAAGACAGACGAACCGACTGATCATTAATGACACTCATAATATAATTCTGAACACCAAAAAGGTACGAAAGCAATGCTGGGGTGAAGGTTTATATCAAATGAAATGAAACAACAATCAATCAATTAATGTCTTGCTTTTTTTTAATCATGCATAATCATTACCTTGATTACTGCGGCTGTCTGTGACACGTGATGCATCTGTCTGTATATACCTGTTCAGAACCCTGCTGCGCCAACGCAACTCTCTCACAGTGTCACCTTGGCAACTTAGTATCTATCTATCTACAGCACTATCAGTTTGCCAAAGGGATGTAGAACAATGCTATATTTTGGGTAGTCAGTGCTTGACTTGGGCCGGAGCTGTCTGGAGCTGTTGGGGAACTGCGTACCGTCTCCTTTATAAAACAAAGTGGCCTATCACCGGCCCGGATTCACACACAGCGGCAAGTGTGCACTCATATCCTAATTCCTAATTTTGTTTTCAAGCTTATTTGACACTAGTCTGTGTGAATCCGGTGTATATGCGTGCCAGTATAGTGTTCGAGTTTTTAAAAAATGCGCAGATTGAGAATGTGCCAGCCTGAATGTGCAGGATGCGCTGTTCCAGGTTGTTAAATGAGGGTTCTTAAGGTCATGGAAAATCCCTGGGAAAAAAAAGTCATGGAATTGTATTATTGGGTTTTCCTTTTTAAATGTATTATCAATCGCTTAAAAATCGACATATCAGCCCTGATCAGAATTAGGTGTACCCTTCAGCCCGTCTGTGTGCGCTGTGGATCATCTGTGTGCCCAGTGCAGTGGGCCGTTGACTGAGGAAGAGAGAGAGAGAGAGAGAGAGGAGAGAGAGAGAGAGAGAGAAGATCTCTCTCGCTCACTCCTCTCGCGCTCTCGCTCTCGCTCTCTTCCTCTCTCTCGTCGCTCTCTCCTCTCTCTCTGCTCTCTCTCTCGCCTCCTCACTCTGATCTCTCTCTCTCTCTGTCTCTCTCTCTCTCTCTCTCTCTCTCTCTGCTCCCTCTACTCATTCTCTCCACGTCTCTCGCATTCTCTCTCTCTCCCTCTCTCTCCTGTCTCTCTCTCTCTCTCCTCTCTCCTCTTCCTCTCTCACTCCTCCAGCCACTCTCTCTCTCGGTCTCTCGTCTCCTCTCTCTACTCGCCGCCCTCCCCTCTCTCCTCAACCCTCGCTCGTCTTCGCTCTCTCGACTCTCCGCGCTCGCGCTCTCTCTTTCTCTCTTTTTTCTTCATCTCTCTCCTCTATCCCTCTCTCCTGCTCTGCTCTTGTTTCCTTTTCCGCTCCCTCATCATTCACCATTTCATCACAGCGCAGTAGCCTATATAATAGTGCTAGACTACCGAATAGGGTGCCATTCAAACATAACTTAACTAAGCCATGCTACAAGCTATCTTTAGCTATAGACCTCAAGCATTGACAGACGTCGTTGACACTCACTTCGCCCCTTCCAATGGCTTCCGTTGAGAAAACATCTGAACCCAAACCGTTATTTTTTAAATCATGTGATGTTCCCCTCTAGTAAACAGTAAGGCTATGTAATTCCCAGTTAATAAAATATCTAAGATATCCTAATTGACAAATAGCTCCCATCTCTGCATAGAAGCTCTCTCCCCTGAAACCATGATATTTGAGCTTCATCAGGTTATAATACATTCTTAGTTAGGCTCTACTTTTGCTTTGGAAGTAACCTGCTCATCCATTCTATCTCTTATTCATTGTAATTGTAAACCTTTTATATCACAATCAGGTGTGCCAACCATCCTCCAGGAGAGCTACTGGGATGCAGGCTTTTGATTCCATCCAGTCCAGCCCCACTCTTCACACAACCACACTGTAGACTAAACATCAACCCCTGTTCTAACACGCAAACACAGCACCCCCTGTATACTCACCCAGCCCCCCGGTCTCATCTAACCCACACCCCCCTTTATACAAACCTATCCCCACGGTCTAACACAAGCCCCTGTATACTAACATCAGCCCCGTTCTAACACACCCCCTGTAGACTAACATCCGGCCCGGCCAACATCCACCCCGGTCTAACACAAGCAACCAGCACCCTGTAGACTAACCAATCAGGCCCTGGTCACCACACCACCTGTAAGACTAAACATCAGATTCAGCCCCGTTCCTAACACACCACCCTGAACTAACATCCGCCCCGTCTCAACACAACCAAACTGTATACTAACACATCCTCGTCCTAACACACATAGCACACTGTAAAAGAGAAACCCTACACATCAGCCCCGTCTAACACAAACACATAACACACCAAACTTGTAGAACTAACATCAGCCGCGTCTAAACACAGCACACAAAACTGTATACTAACACATCAACATCCTCGGTCTAACACCCACACTGTAACTAAACATCAGCCCCTGGTCTTACACACCACACTGTAGACTAAACGTCACAGCCCCGGTCTAACCACCACACCTGTAGACTTAAACAACAATCACCCCTGGCTAAAAACACACCACCCTGACCCTGTAGACTAAACATCAGATCATCCCCGGTCAACAAAAACACGTAGACTAAAACATCACCCCGTTCTAACAACACATCCCCCTTAGACTAACATCAGCCCCGGTCACACCACACTGGTAACTAAACATCAGCCCCCGTCCCTACACAACCAACTGTAACTAAACATCACTCCCCCTGTCCTAACACAGCACCCTTGTAGACTAAACATCAGCCCCGGTCTAACACATACCACAAACCTTGTATACTAAACAACTAAACATCAGCCGCCCCACCGAGTCTAACACACACCCCCTGTAGACTAAACATCAGCCTCTTCTAACACAACACCACCCTGTCAGACTAAACAGCAGCCGCCGCCCACAGCCCCGGTCTAACACAGCACCCTGTAGACTAAACATCACCCCCGGTCTAACACACCACACTGTAGACTAACACATCAGCCACCGGTCTAACACACCACACTGTAGCTTACCATCAGCAGCCCCGGTCTAAACAACCCACCACCCTGTGACCCTAAACCTCAGCCCCCCGTCTAACACACCACCCTGTAGACTAAACCTAAACATCAGCCCTGGTCTAAACACACCACCCTGTTACCCTGAGCTAACATCACGCCCTGGTCTAACACACCACACTGTAACTAAACCTCATCAGCCCCGTCTAACACACCACACTGTACGACTAACATCAGCCCTCACCCCGTTCTAAACACACAGTATACCCTTAAACATCAGCCCCGTTCTAACACACCACCCGTAACTAATAAACATCAGCCCTGGTCTAAACACACCACCCTGTTAGACTAACATCAAGCCCCGGTCTAACAACACACCAACCCTGTAGACTAAACATCAGCCCTGGTCTACACAGCACACTGTCGTAACTAACATCACCCGGTCTAACACACCACACTGTAGACTAAACAAAACATGCAGCCCCGTTCTAACACACCACCACACTGTAGACTAACATCAGCCCCGGTCTAACACACCACCCTGTAGAACTAACATCAGCCCCGGTCTACCCCATCACACAGCAGCAAACCCTGTATACTTAACATCAGCCCACGGTCCTAACCACCCACACTGTAGCTAAACATCAGCCCCGGGTCTAACACAGCACACGTAACTAACTAAACCTCAGCCCCGGTCTAACACAACCCCCAATCAC